GTCACTAGTTTAATTCATGAATGAAATAACAGATTTTTGTACCACACATATTCTAATTTAAATACTTATTCTTAAGCATAAAATATTTGTAGGCATGTGGTTTGAACTGGAGTGAAAATGTGTTCAATATTATTATTTATATGCATATGCCATTGAGACTTACAAATTTATTTCCAGCTTGTAATACAATTGTCATGCCTCCTTATAGTTATAGAACTTGGAAATGAAAAGAACCAAACCTTAACTCCTTACAATCGTATTGTTGCCTAGACTTTTATTACGATCTTTATGCATTGTCCTAGGTTTGAAACTGTTTCGCATGCCCGCCAAAAACTTGATGCAATGCGGCTTTTACTGCCGTCAGCTTTGTTTAGTTTGATTTTTATAGACCTTTGGCAATGTTTCAAAAAGAAAGATAGAACAATTTTTATGGGTATTATCTAATACTTATGTTGCCCGCACGCCCTCTATATTTCGCTCAAGCTCTCTCAAGCATGCATGTGCATGCTATTGACTGTCTCTCTCTCTCCCTCTCTCTCTCTCTCTATCTCTCTCTCTCTCTCTCTCTCTCTCTCTCTCTCTCTCTCTCTGTCTCTCTATGTCTGGCTGTGGCATTGACATTGAATGTGCCCGTTCTCGTTGCCGGGTTGCCGCCATAGTTGCCCAAAACGCACGAGTATATCCGGCTAGTTGCATGTGCATGTGGCATGTGTGTGCGTGTGTAGGTGAGTGGGTGAGTGTATGTGTGTGTGTTTGTTGTGGGGTATTGATTTCATAGGTTGCTAGACAAATTGCGGACATGGTTTTCTAGCTGAATGTAGGTCAAGTCTAATTTTAGGTTAATGAGCCCATGCAAGCAGTCTAAAAACTTAAATATATATTGTTTTTGCACAAGACGCAGATACTTTTATGCGTTGCACGGTTTTGGCCAATATTTGCAGCACTTACTGAATATATAAATATTTACATATTTACATGTAATCTGCTGTTTATTTCTCGTGAGGAAGTATGTGAACAATTATTGCTGATCTTTTGAGCTAATTTTTATTGTTGACAGCTGCATTATTTACATCTGGTATTACGGAATGTCGTCGCCTGATTTAATGAGCATTTGTATGTGCATTATCACGACTTTCGCTTATCAAAACAGGGCGCTTATTGAACAAAGAATTAACCCAAATATGTCAGTTAGGTGTTCTTTCACGTGCGATTAACGATTGTGTCTTCACGCATCGCTTGAAACCAAATGGACTAAATGACAAAGTTCAATTGAAGATTCAAAATGATTATGTTCAATAATCAAGGAAAATTCCCTATCTTATTTTCCCAGACACCCCTTATAAATCCAATAGCTAACTCGTTGAGTCAGCGATCGCGCCAATTGCTCAAACGAATTAGTTTTTGAAAACCCCTTTGACGGCACTCAAGCGTTTCAGCTTCAGCTATCCGCTTGGAAAAAACAGTTCAATTCATAATTAACCACAATTGCGTGAGATTCGATTTATTAAACGCAATTTGTCGGCTTTTATGTAACGATTATTGTCAATTGAACATTTCGCAGAGAGAAAAACAAGAGTGGAGGTGTCAAAGATTAAATAGCTTTGCGGTATTAAGTAATCTGATAAAGTAATATAATATGCTACTTTTATATGGAATCATATTATTTTAAGGCATCATAGTTAAGCCCATAATTGCCGAGACCGACCAATTAAGACCGAACGTGAGCGATATGATGTAGTGGTCCGATCTCTGTAAGAATTTTTCTATATAGATGCATATTTTTTTATATTTGTAAATATGCAAGTGAAAGGAATGAAAGGAATTATAATTTGTTGTTGTTTTGCTTGCAGCTTTGGTTGGCTCCTTGGCAATTGGCACCACCTTCTTCCTGTCACCAGTCGCTGGATGCCTGACTGACAAGATTGGACTCCGGCTGACCACCTTCATTGGTGGCATGCTCGCATCCGGCGGGCTGTTGCTTTCGTCATTTAGCTCGGACAATATCAGCGCCTTGTACTTTACATATGGCATCATGTTTGGGCTGGGCGGTGCATTGGCCTACACGCCCACACTGGCTATCCTAGGGCATTACTTCAAGCGCTATCTGGGCAAGGTGAGCGGCTTTGTGACTGCCGGATCGAGCGTGTTTACTGTTATACTGCCACCCGGTCTGGATTGGCTGCTGGGCAGCTATGGACTGGAGACGACTTTAAGGGTAAGTGACTACTATTCAAATGGAGCTAATCTGGTCTAACCACATTTTAAACCGCAGATGATGAGTCTTATGGCGGCATTTATCATAGTCTGCTCGTTTGTGTACAAGCCGCTGCATCTGCCGCTGCACTCGACCAAGAAGAAGGATGGCCGTTCGCGTCTTAATGTACTCATGCGTTCCATTATCAATGTGGAGATCTGGAAACGAAAGCGCTATGTCATCTGGGCCCTGTGCGTGCCACTGGCTCTGTTTGGCTACTTTGTGCCTTATGTGCACATGATGAAGTTTGTGGAGACCTCCTTTCCCGGCAGGGATGTCAATTTGCCCGTCATGTGCATAGGCGTTACCTCGGGCATTGGCCGTCTCATATTTGGTGTCATAGCTGATATGCCCGGCGTGAATCGCATGTACCTGCAGCAGCTGTCGCTGGTCTGCATAGGCCTGGTCACCTTGTTGCTGCCACTGACCAGCTCGTATGTGGTCCTCGTGTCGTTCGCCTTGATAATGGGCCTATTCGACGGCTGTTTCATTTCGCTGCTTGGTCCGATCGCCTATGAGATTTGTGGACCCTCGGGCGCCACGCAAGCCATTGGCTTTCTGCTGGGTCTCTGCTCGCTGCCATTGACTATTGGCCCGCCCGTTGCTGGCATGATATTCGAGCGTACCGGCTCGTATACACTGCCATTGATACTAGCTGGACTGCCGCCACTGCTCGGCTCTTCGCTGTTGTTCCTCATGCGTTGCGTAAGGAATGACTCCGCTAGCAATGATACGAACGGAGTTGTTGCTCGGCAAAATAGTGACATTGAAAACTCCTCCAATGGCGACTATCGCATGAGTGGTAAGCATTCAGTTATATGTCTATGCCATAATAAACTCTCATTTGATTTGTCTCTCAGCTGTGAAGTCTAATGCGCCGCTTATGGGTTCAAGTTTCAGCGAAAGCGGCGCCAAGTCCAATGGATATGCAATAACCAACGGCTCAGCAACTGGTGCGCAGGATAACTAAACTTTATATAACCTTTGCTAATATGATGCTACTTTTATTTTAGCTGTCAAGTCGCAAGCACCTCTCATGGGTTCGGCAACAGATGCAAATGGTGTCAATGGGCATGTCAACGGGCATTTGGATATGACAGATCCAGCAACTGGTTCGTACTCAGAACGACAAACTAGTATTACTGCCTGCTGTTGCACAACTATTTGCGTTCATCCCAGTAGCTCGACTAACATGCACTTTTCAAAACCCATCTCATCCCACACTGCTTTGCTTAATCACACCTCTAGATCCTTAACTGCATTAGAAGATTCTAAGAAACGCCATTATAAGTACTCGATTTACTGAGCCTTTGCTTTTTATATATAAATATGGATATATTTGACTGCGGGCTTCCAGAAAATATTGATTTCCTTAAAGACACAAGTTTAGATAGTTTCACGAAATTATTTACTTACTTTAAGAATGTGATATTGGTAGTATTTTATTATCTTGAAAATTTAACCCACCCTATAAGTATAGCAATTTTTGTGCACATAATTATAATTTAATTTGTTTAATGTGTGCAAACATTTTATTTTCAGCATAACATTTTCATCTTCATTGCAAAACACACGCATTCGAACACATTCATCTACAACTTTTTGTATTGTTTAAATAATATTGATCTAAATTTAAGTGCTTTGTAGCTCGTAAGTTGCACCGAAATATCGTTTGTAAATAAATAAATGCAACTTTAATTTAATTTGTATTTGTATATGCATAGCTTTTGTAATTTACTGCTGCACATTGTGTTAAATATTTTGTTTATTTTAATGCTATATTTAGTGGCTCACATCTACTAGTGCATGGAGATTGTATATGATTGAATAAGATAATATCAATTAAACTTAATAAACATGTAATTCTTTCAGAGACATCCATCGACAGGCCAGGATCCTAGATAAAGTCGCTGTCGTCTGCTCAAATCTCAAAATTCCACAAAACTTTATCATTAATATTTTCTGCCATTTTAATCTATGATCATATCGCTAACAGCATATCTAGCGCATAAAGAAAGGTGTTCATTCATTTTTGACTACTGTACATACGGGACGATGTACAAATATTTTGAATAGACCTTTTGTTGGAGAGACTCTCGTGTACTTGATGTACATATTGTAATACTTATTTTTTTCATAAATGTGTATACTATAGGCTAAGACATATTTGAAATGCAAAATAAATCAATAATTGTAAAAAATTAGAATTGGCAATGTGTGTTTCTCTCTAAAGGAAGTTAACAATTCTAAGGCATATAAGAATCTGGAACTATAAACCAGAAACAAACTGTATTACGCGAACCACACACAATAGACATATGACTGTGGATATAACGAATATACCTCCATGAAAGCTTACACAAGTCCACTTATTTACGCTGGCACCTGACTGGAATTGGTCAATTGATGACGTATAAGCCGAGTCGATTAGACTCGTAGTGTATTTTGGCTGGTTACTGTTACCCATTAGTGCAAATTATAGCAATTTGTATGCAGGCACTCATCGATAAATCACAATAAAAAATTACTTGATATGTTGGGTTCATTGATGCGTACCCGCACCTCGTCCATTTCCATACAACGTCTATATGATTGCGTCGTTTTCTAGCCGAGTTTTTTTTTTCGACTGGGACTCGGTCAAGTCACGAGCCAATTCGTGACAATACACGCATATCTCTTGGGCCCCAAAATAGTCTCAGCGTCCGGCATATAAAAAGTGGGTGCACACAGAAATTTGTAATTATAGTATTGACGCGCTTTCAAACGCTCGGTTGCTCGATCGGTAGAGAGACAATCAAGGCTCCAAGTGATTTATTTTGACACCTTTGGGATAGCTCAATATGTTAACGTGGCAGTTGTGGTGCGCTCTATTGTTCGTATCGTGGTTCTATTTCTTGTGGACGCGCCGCAGATTCTATCTATTAACGCTTAAGATACCTGGCCCACAGGGCTATCCAATAATTGGCATGGCACATAAGCTGCTTCGCAGGGAAAGTACGTGGTTGTATGAGGAATTTTACGTGGATTCTAACAAGCAAAATGTGTGTTTTCTCAGATGTGCTGAAAGAATTCGGTTTCTATTTGGATAAGCATGGACCCACCATTTTCTCTTGGCTGGGTCCCATACCATTTATGATAGTGAGCGATCCACAAATTATACAGGATATATTCACATCACCGCATTGCATCAACAAGGGCATCATCTACAAGGCCGTCGATGATGGAGCTGGCTTGGGATTATTCAGCTTGACAGGTATGCAAAGCGTTACAATGGCTGTAAATGAGAGAAATGCCCACACTCTTTTTCAGATCCTCGCTGGAGCGTACATCGCAAGCTACTGAATCCGGCATTTGGACACAAGGTGTTGCTTAGTTTTTTGCCCATTTTCAACAACGAGACAAAAGCTCTTCTCAAGCTATTCGACACATTAGTGGATGATGGCGAAAAGGATTTGATACCGTATCTACAATATTTTACCTTGGGCATAGCAACGCGTGAGTTGAAAATATTAAAGCTGTTCTTCCTATAGTTGGAGCTCTCTTTAAATTTATATGCATTTTGTTTTTATTTAAGTATAGAAACCACAATGGGAAGTGATGTGAAGTTGGATGGGGGCATTAACAACAATCGTCTGCTCGAGGATTATCAATGGTAAGTAATATCGGCCATCTGCACAAATGAGTTTTGCTATCCATTAATAGTGTTTTGGAATCTATGACAGACATGTGCTTTTCACCATGGCTTAGTAGTAAAACCGTACGTCAACTCTTCGGCAAGGAGGAGCGCTACTCGAGCGCCAAGTCGGAGATACGTGGGTTCATCAGAAAGGTAGCACAAGCATTCACTCTAATTTTATGGAAATGAATAGCCTGATTTATGTTCTAGCTAATAGAAAGAAAACTGGCTAGAGATGCAGAAATTGCTGAAAATGGTAATCCTTCCCCCTTGGAAAAAAACATATTTTTAAACCTAGCAACAGACCTGCTAAAACGTGGCATCTTCAGCTGGAAAAACGTAGAAGATGAATCAAATGTTATTGTTTTTGGAGCTTTTGAAACAACTGCCAACACGGTTGCCTATACATTAATTCTGCTTTCGATGTTTCCCAAATACCAGGAGAAAGCATTTGAGGAGATTCTCGCTTTGTTTCCCGACCCTGGAGACTTCGAGGTAACCTACGCGGATACACAGGAAATGGTCTATTTGGATCTTATTCTAAACGAATCAATGAGAGTGATACCGCCTGTTCCAGTCGTCTCTCGGCAAACGTCCCAGGACGTACTGCTTTCAAGTGGAGTTGTTGTTCCAAAGGGAGTTCAAATTGCCATCGATATATTTCACCTGCATCGCAGTAAGAAAATTTGGGGTGAGGGCGCGGAAACATTTGATCCGGAACACTTTCTGCCCCATCATTACCAAAATAAGCATCCATACGCATTTATACCTTTCACAAAGGGCATTCGGAATTGCATAGGTAAATGTATATTTGCTTATTACATTTAAATTAAGACTTATTCGACAAACAATGATTTTAATTTTAGGCTGGAGATATGCTATGATATCTGCAAAAATTACGTTGGCGAAATTGCTAAGGAATTACAAATTCTCAACTAGCTTTAAATTTGAAGATCTTTATTTTGTAGAGGACATAACTATAAAACTTAAGACAGTGCCGCTACTGACGCTACAAAGGAGAACTTGATAGCTTATGCTATTATTCTGCATACCTATGTTATTTTCTTACATTGTGTAAATATGAGTAAATAATTGTTATGAATATACACCTCATTCTGTTTTTATACGGTATATTGGTTCCAGAAAAATCCGTGTTAAAAGAGACATTGATCGTATGCAAAAATAGGTGATTGGTTCCTTAACTCTAAAACCTATTAAAATTAGTAAAAAACAAGGATTTTTTAAGAACAAGTATTCATATTTATTTTATTAAATCACATATATAATATGTAAGTTCACAAAATATTAACACATTTGATGAAAATATTTTAGAAAAATCGTCGCGTTAAGAAATTTAAAATTTGTTTCTTTCAAAACCGGGTTAAATAAAAACCATGTAAAAACAGAATTAGTGCATGTATATAAGTATAAGAAAATTTAAATATATTGAAAAAGGTTTTTTTTTGTGGGTATTTCCGTTTCTAGATACATGGTGTTCTTGACTTTAAGTGCATTTTCATTTAATAAAGTTTTTCTTTCACTTTGATTGGTTTTAGCGATTTTATGTTTATGCTATAAACAAAGTTCGTGTTTAAATAGAAACACCGCATGAATTGGTTTCAAAAGATGGCGCACTTATCGATAGTTTCAGTCCTATACAACACTATTTTCAGGCGCTGCAGTATTTAATAATAGTTATCGCAAAGCGTGAATTATCGATATTTGTTGTCATATTGCCGGCTGTAATATAATTGTAAATATATTTTCAATTGTGCTGCAATGTCGCTGACAGATGTCTTGGAATTGAATAAAACGGAATTGTTTGCCAAAATACGCAATGGCCTACCGATTGTGCCGCAAACGCAGAACCTACTTGACTGCAAAGATGATCTATTGTACGCATGGAACTCAAGCGATTCCTGCTTGCTGGTCACAAATTGGCGCGTAGCGTTGCTTCAGCCGGAACCAAAGCGTGCCAAAGTCAGCTACCAGACACTAATACCATCCAACTCGATTGGTCTGAATGTCGATCGTGTTGTGGTCTCCCATGAGGGCTCGCTTGTAGCGCTGAGTGGACCGCGGGGTGTGACAATATTGGATGTACCACGCCGCAGTGGGCCGGACGGCTGTTTCATGGATGGCAAGCCGCAGACCACGTGCCGTACTTATAATCTGGATGCGCTGCTGTTTCAAAACAATCCTCAACTGGAGGTGCGTCAGCTGCGTTGGCATCCCGACTCCGTCTCTGACTCCACGCTGTTGGTGCTGCTTTCCAACAACACAATGCGCGTGTACAATCATGCAAAGTTGCGCCATGTGTGGAAGGTTGGCCCGCACACAGTCAAAACTGGTGCAAATACATCTCTTTCGGATTTTGGTGAAACTTCCGTTGACTTCGATATTGCGCCCGCTGTTAAATCTAGCGCCAACGATGAAGCAAACACTAGTCTCTCTACCACACACAACAAAACGCAGTCTGCTGCCAAAACGAGCAAGGAGAAGGTGGAGTGGCCCATTGTTATATTGCGTGAGAATGGCAACATATATATGATGCTCGCAGGCATCGATTCGGAAATAACGCGCTTGCAGGGACCCATTACCATAACACCGCAGACGAGCGCCAACTATGGCCTAGAGTCGTGTGCTCTGCTGATCATACCATCGTTACCGCCAACTGTGATCATTGCCGAGTCAACGGGTAGGCTGCATCATGCGCTTTTGCTGGAGTCGGAGACTAAAGAGCACTCGTTCAGCGACGTGGATGAATGCTTGATCATTGAGCCATCGGAGTGGACCTTGCACGTTACTGAAACCGTTGAACTTGAGTTGGGCCTTTCCTCGGGAACTGCTAATGATACAAACGGCGCCTATAGCTGCCCCATTCACCTGAAACGAGATCTGATCAACGAAATGCGTTATTTTGCGTATCACAATGCTGGACTTCACTCTATAACTGTTAACTTCATATCTGAGCTGCAGCGCTTCTTGGATAGTGAGGCCGAAGATGATCAGCTGGTATTATCGACACCCTCCAGCGCCGAATATATTTTGTGCACTAAGTTCGATTCAAGTGATCGCGTCAATGCTGTCTTTGGCATCGCCCTGATGCAAATGCCAGCTGGACTTGTGCTGTTGCTGAGCAGCGGTCAAGTAATTAGCCTTAAGCTGGTCATCGATTCACAATTACTGGTTACCACCAAGCAACAGTTGCAGCGCACAGCCACAGATGATGTGCTTGGACAGCAGGGTGAGGGTCCTTCGTTTACGGATACTATCAAAGCATTGCTGATGCGTAGCGTGAGTCAACCGATTCTGGCCGACAAAATGGCATCGTCTTCCGCACATGAGCGCTACGAGTTGCTCAACCAGGCCATAGAGGTGCTGCGCTCTCAATACCTCAAGCGACACGAGCTGGTGCGCGTGGAGTTCGCCAAGCGCATAAACTGCATTAAGCTGCAGAAACAACAGCAGCTGCAGGAGATAAAAAGTCTGGAGAAAGAACGAGAAATCATAAGCGAGCGTGCGCACAAGCTGGCAGAACGCTTCGAAGAAATAAGCGATAATCAAGAGATCCTGATGCGCCGTTGCCAAAAGCTGATGCAGGACGCCAATGCAGTACTGCCGAACAGCGTTTTAGCTGAGCGCGAGTTTGCCTTGGAAGTGGCACGCATTAACAAGGCCACCAAAAGCATGGCAGCCGCCCTGGACACGGCTAAGAAGACGTTCAACAAACAACGCTACCACATTGCCAAATCCCAAGAGATGGCAAAGAACAACGTCTACGAGCTGCCAGAAAAACAGCGACGCACCATTACGGAGATCCTTACTCAGCTGTCCAGTGAGATTGATCGTCAGATAACTGATGTGAAGCGAATAAATAAGATTATTGGTCTATGAAAATTCTAAACATCCAATAAGTTAATGTATGTGTGCTTTTGTTTTAAATTAAAGCAACCTTATAGTATTTCTGTAAAAGTTGTTTTTTTTTTTGTTGGAAAATACGTTTTTTCTAGGGTTTTGTATTTTGAACATGATGTGTCTTGGATATTGATTATAATGGTAATGATTTGATTTGTTCATAAGACCGTTTCTGTCACTTACTTTGTTTAATATACTATTTAATTTTTGCAATTTGTTTTGAGTTTTTAATTTGTTGATTTTGCTGCGCATGCTTGAAAAAAAACTCGAGGTAAATAGAAAAATCGAATAAACATCGGGAATGGGCTTGCTGACGAGAATGACGCCGTCAAAGAGAAATAAAAACAACTAAATTCACATATTCCCTGGGTTGGACCGTGGGATACTGAGTACTCTTGGGGGCTTCAAAAACAGAACGACAAGGTTCTTATGGGCAACTCAGAGCAAACGGGGTCTGTTTTACTGAGGGGCCTCTTTAGACACAGGTATATACTTAAATATGCATAGTTGTAGTGTATAGGTATATTGAACCTCGTTCGAAAGCGAAAATGAATTTCGCATAGCTAATGAATGGCTCGTATATATATGCTTATATAGGTGAATTTAAATATGTTTTTGCGTTTCAGTTCCATTCCATGGCCTGCCATCGGTTGCGAGCGTACCTTTTGGAAATGACATCGGTAATTTTGGCCAGATTGGCATCAATCTGTGAGCAGATGTCCAACTACATCAAAACAAACTCACCCTTTGTGATCGAGGTGCTGATGGTGTCGCTCTGCTTTGGCGCTATAATCAGCAGATATTTAATACTGACCTAGACGGAATATATATAAAAATAAATATATTCAATAAAACAATTTGAATAATAAAATGAAATAACGGAAAGTTTCTCTAAACAAAACTAATATTGTATTTGTGTGTGAAAATATGTGTAAAGTGTCCACAGTGGCAATACATTATGATGGTACTTAAACCCTAGGCTTCTCAATCAGATGTATATAGAATGCCGGATTCTGCACAACATTCATATCCTTGAAGTCGCCGTATAGCTTGTGCTTGGCCTGGCTACCAAAGATTTCTCTAAGGATCTCCGTGAAACGCTTAAGCTCATGCGGATAATAGGAGAGACGGAACTCGCTGGCCAGCTTATTGCCTTCGATCTGGTAGTCCATGGAGACCAGAGCTGCCTTGCCACAATAGAATAAAACGGATGTTTTGATGTCCGCCGTATGGCTTGTCTAAAAAAACAATTCAATATGCAAGTCATTCCAAAGGGCGATTAAAATTGTGTCGATGATGACGATGATGATGCTGATTTTTTCCTATATTTTAAGTGTTATTAAATAAGTTATCAGTGAAACGGTGACTGCGCATGTTGTAAGCCCAAGTCAATGAAATGTGTTGTTTAATTGCTTTTAATTGGCGCCACGATGAAAGTGTGAAACTTACGTTATAGTAAATGCTCTTGGCTGGCGTGGCGCCTGTTTCGAGGATGTTGTCATAGTTGCGATGATCGATCAGCAGTATGCCGCCTGGCTTCAGGCATTTCTCAAAGTTCTTGATCGCCTGTTTGTGTTCGCGCTGATCGCCAAAGCTGTCCATTAAATGGGCAAAGGAATTGCCCAGGCAAATGACCGCATCGAAACCTTCCCGACGATGCTCCCGAATATCGTCGAACAACGTCAGCCAATTGGCCTCCTCAATAGCTGTATAAACACTAGATCAGACCTGGCTAAAAATACATATTGCTTAGTAACTCACTCCATTGATCAAAGGCGGCTTCCTTGCGACGATTCCAGCGCTCTTTCAGCGCATATTTCAGCATTTTGTCTGAAGCATCAACGGACACCACCTCGAAGCCCTCCTCCAGCAGCATTATAGAGTCAACGCTGGTATGAATCATAATATATATTTATTATTTATTATTATTTATTAATTTGTGTGGCTTACCCCGTGCCGCATGCCACATCCAGGATGCGTTTGCAGCCCTTCTGGCGCAGCAAATCAACCAGGAAGTTCTTGTAGTTGTCAGTGCGGGAGTTTTTATCACCAATGAATATCTCCCAGACCTTGGCAGCCTTACCATCCGCATACTGATCCCGTACTCCTTCCGCGGAGATGCCATCCGATCGGGTTACGAACACGCTATCAGCCGAGGTTGTCATTTCGAGTGTTTAGCACTGGCCAGCAGATCAAACTGAAATAAAATTTCGTTGCGAATCTACTTGCCATGATATCTCCGGTGGGTGAATTAAATCTCTAACAGCTGGTACACCAGACACACACATACTCACTCACCCGTAATCTTATCATTGCGCGTCGAGATTGACCCGTGCTGGCAACGGTTCCGCTGAGCCATGCGAGGCGAGCGCCAAATCAACATCTGTTTCCAGTGTACACGTTTCGCTTTTTTTTTTTTTTTTTGGCGACCTGACACTGAACTTGTGGTGATTAGTTGAGATTACAGTGCCTCAAAATAATAGAAATTATTTGACAACAATACGTCATGCCATGCTTTTACAGCTAACAACAACGGTCCTTTTAATGATGATGTAATGCAGTATGATCTCGATAAAGCGGACAGTCAAAAACCAGACAGTGTCCGAAGTAACGAGTTGCTTATCGAGATAATCAAGCAAACACTGCTCAGGAATTTGTATAAATGTTTAATAATATATGTTTATTTTAAGGCTTAATGATTAATCATTTTTCCTTTTTAACATGTATTCGACAGTTCTCTTTTTCTCTGCATAATTATGGCCTGTTCCTATAATGGCATTAAGCGACAGGCAGATGGAGTTCCGAGCCCCTTAAGTGTATTTATTATCTCACTCTCTATGTGGATATATTGGTTATTTCTACTTTAATCGATGTACTTTCCTAATTCCATATGAATCACTCATCGGTGTCCTTATGGGTTTCGGATATACATAAGAAAAATCCTTCAAGAATTGCTCAATTTTAGAAATATATATATATTCTGTAAAGGATCCAGCCGATCAAAACATACAAAACATAGTCTGCAATAAAAATGTTCAAAGGTGCAGTACAATAGATACAAATTTGGATGATCGTAGTCCCATTCTTCTTGTTTTTTTTTTTTTTTTTTTTTTTTAAATAAGAAAGTGTCCGTAAAAATGAGGACATACTGTACTGATATACTATACCAAGGCGCGTTGACAACTGAAAATTAAAAAAATGTCATATAAGTTCGTTTTTATTTCAAGCTTAATAAATATTGCACTGCGTTGAAATCTAGGATTATAAATTGTTATAATGGTAATCGTATTGCACCTTGTTTAAGTTGATATTGCAAGTCTTAAGGGATAAATTCACGCGTTCGTTGACTTATAACTAGATAGTATAAAATTGTAATAATATTAATAAGTGATTACGTTTCGCAAGATAATTAACAGATCAGCTTTAATTATCTTGGGAAACATAAGCTGTCATTATAGTTAGAAAAGATTCTTAGAAAGTATTCATACATGTAGATGCATATGTATATGTATGTGTATATGTATATGTATATGCTGTGTATATGTGTGAGTTGTAGCTAACTAAGGGATTTGAGTATTCTATTCAAATTCTATGGCAAATACCCCAGCGAATCCTCGAGCGAGGCACTGACCACTCGCATTGATTGATAGCTCGCCATGCGGCTTCTGCTGACATTGCTGCGTATGGAGGCGGCACTCTCCAGAGCTTTGATATTGATCAACAGATCATCGGCGCTGCAGGATTTATGTGAGGCGACACTGGAGGTCATGTGCAGCGGCATGGATAGCGGTATGACGCTGCCATTACCATTGCCATGGCCCAGACGATCTGTGCTAAAGGATTCGCGTGATCGATACAAGGAACGTCGCGTGGATGCCTTCGAATGGCAGCTGCCATTGCCGGCACGCACAATGGAAGATTTCTGGCTGTTCAGCGGCGGACAGAGACTCTTGATGTCCGTCGTCTGACTAAGTTTCATGTCCGCAAAGACAGCGGCCGCCTCGACGCTCTTCTTCACACTGAGCGCCTCGTGCGGCTGCACCGGCTTGCTGTTGCCCCCGATCGTAAAGAGTTCATAATCCAAGCCCAGCTTCTCTGCGGACTTTGGCTTGCGAGTGGACGAACGCGACTTGTGCTGTTGATTGAGTGAATCCTCGCTGACAGTGGCTGCTGCTGCTGCTGCTGCGGCTGCTGCATTGGCCCGCTGTCGGCGATGAGTGCGCTTGCAGTAGCATTTACTGGCGCTGATGCAGCTGTCCGAATCGCACCAGGTGGTGGTGTCCGAATGTGCATTGGCCGAGTCGTGCTCGAGTGTGCTATTCGGCTCCTCCTCCACCATGGAACAGTAGCACTTCTCATCGGACTTGCACGAAATCAGCGAATGCCGATTGCCAGCTGCCGGCTTGCGAGCGTTGCCCATGGCCATGTTGCGCTCGTTCTTCTGGCGCAGCTTGTGGTTCAGATGCTCCGTGCGCAGGCTGCAATAGCAGCGATCGGCTGAGGCGCAGGTGCAGGATTCGGAGTCGTAGCTGCACTCAGAGCACGAGACGTAGCTGTTGGCATTTGAATAATAATCACTAGACATTCAAATTTTAGGTATCCTTAACCATGTACTCACCCACTGCTGCTGTTCCGGTTGAGTCCCTGCAGCGCATGCTCATTGCGCACCACGGACACATCCGAGCCGCTGGTGGCAGCGCGATTGCGTTGATGCTGCTGCTGCGCATGACTTTGGCTGGTTGGCGGGCCAATTATGATGGGCGGCGTCAGTCTGAGCTTGTTGGAGTCCTCGTTGGGCGCTTGTGGTTCCTTGGCACGCGCCGGCTTGGCCAACTTGCCGCGGCAGGCACGAAACTGTCCCAGCTGAAAGACCTTCTTTAGGCTCTTGGTGCCAAAGAAGATGCTCTTCGGTTTCTTCTGTAGGGCATTGGTTGCAGTTAATATTGAGCATAAGTGTGACTCATCTAGAGCAGCTCACCTGTGAGCCATTTATGCTGGTCTTGCGTTTCTGTTTCTTCTTCTTCTGGCGACGCATAATGTTCTTGGAGCGCTGAAAGAGCTCGTCCTGTGTGAGCGTAACTGCCAGCTTCAGCAGGAACTCTTTGTAGATGGGCTTCAGATCGTTGAAGGACATGCCATCTGCATCGATTATGGCATAAAGTATATCGTCTAGCGAGTGCAGATTCTCGTGCAGTCGAAATTCATTGAACAGTTCGCTGAAACCAAGTGGGGAACTAGAAGCACAATTCAAACGATGCCAATCAACCAAACCAAACCTTTTCACCAAGGATGCTAACTATGTTAGGCCAAGCCACAGGCCAGCGCCAGTTGTTGCTTTGGTTGCACAGCTGCCGCTGGCCCCGCTGGTTAGTATAAATACTCACCCTCCGCCACCGCCCAGTTTGCCCGAATTGGTGCGACGCGCCGCTCTCGACTTGTACCTGGTCAGGCCGCCGGTGTTCAGAAAACTGCCCGATCTGGGTATGGCCACACGCGTCAGTATGTCCCCATCGCCGGCGGCTGCCGCAACGCCAGCACCCACCAGGTCGCTCAATTTGCGGCCACTTGCATTGCCATTTGGTGTAGGCGTTGTGGGTTGCTTTGGGTGTGCATGCTGGTGGTTCAGGCGATTCACATGTCCGTTGGTGCACACAATGCTGTTGCTGCGGCCCGAACTGCTTTTGTAGCCGCCCACATTTGGAGCCGGCACTGGCGGCGCACGCTTTGTCTTGTGCGATTTGCGTTTGCGCTCCTCCGTTGAGGTCTCAATCTCGGCTGCCTCGTTGATCACGTTGCTGTTGGAGCTGAGCGAGCTGCTCGAGACGCGCTTCTTGCGTGCCGATCGTGAGGGCGTCGAGCCCGCCACGCCCATTTGTTTGGGACTCATGCCCGCCAAGCTGCCGCTGCTGCTGCGAAAGGAGCTCCGACGGCCACAAGCGCTGGGCGCAATCTGCGATCTTGACAAATAGTTCGAGCTGGTCATTGCCGAGCTGCTGGCAATGCTGATGCAGCTAACGCCATTTTGCTGCCGCGGCGTGCGTCGCTTGGTGCTCCGGTGCGAATTGGTGCTCACATGCGCCATGAGACTCTGATAGAGCGTGGCCGCGATGACAATTGCATCCTCGGTGCTCTTGCAAATGAATCCGTGGCATTCCAGAATCTTTGGCGCATTGGCCGAGCGCATAACCACCGCAAATATGGGCGCATGCATGTGCTCGCTTTGCTCCACAGCCAACTGCTCATTGGCGCTGCAAACAGATAGTTAAGAGTGTCTTCAGTTAAGAGGAACTAAAAAGAACATCTTGTGTGCCAACAACTTCCTTTAGAAGGACAGTAGTTCATGGCAAGATGTTGTCAATTTTTGAGGCTGATCAAGAATATATGTACATATACACTTGATAGGTTCGAAGATGTCTTTGTCTATGCGACAAATTTCTAATACCCTCCGGAAGATTATAGAAGGGTGTCTATGATTGGGCTTCTGCTCACCTTAGCGGCTGGAATAGTGCAGTCTTGTCAATGTTATCGGGATCGGTAATGAGCGGTAGAAAGGCGGCGCCTCCATCCGTCTCGGAGATGACAAACTTTACCGCAGACCATACGGCAATATTATGGAATGGTGTAATATTGGCATCGCTATCCTCGCTGCTCGTGCTGGACATGCCGCTGATCTTAATGCGCAATCCGGTTGCACAAATATCCAAAGACCCTGATTTTAACTTCTACAAAGATCAATTAAATAAAGGTAATTGCTAAAATTATGATTTATAGACCTCTCACTGACCTTCTTCGTAACCTCAGCCAGGTAAAGCTGACGCAGTGGCTCCTGCAGACCCTGCAGACTGGTCACCTTATCCTTTAACGGCAGGCAGCCCAAGCACGTGACATCGAAGCTATTCGTTGCATCCTTGGCCACGTCCGTGAAGAGCTGCTCGATTTGTGCCTGCACGCTGTTGCTAATGCGCTGCACATCGTTCTTGGCCGCCTCGGCCAGCACCTTGGCCGATTCGCTTGTCTCCTGCAGAAAGCTGCTGAGCGATCTCGGCTTATCGCCCGAGGTGCTGGCCAGCTCACTACGTCCATACATGATGATGGAACGCGTGCGATGCGATCCTCTGGGATCGTCGAGGCGGCTGCTACGCATTGATCTGTGAAAATTTAATACATTAAGATATCAATATGAATGAATGAATGAGTGAATGAATGGGTCTATTTAATTTGAGTATTACAAGAAAGTTCTATACAGCAAAGTGCCTTTGTTCCTTTCCCTATGCGCCTATTATAATGGTATTTTTATTGATCGGCGAACAGAAATATGGCACTCCAATAAACATAACTTTCTTACACAAAATCATAAATTAAAGCTGTCAACATTTTTAAGATCTTATGCAGTCATCAATAGATTAGTCATCTAAGCGAATATGTTCGCATAACTGTCTAGTACTGAGGTATATATTAGATGATATCAAGTAGACAGTACTACTTAAATGTAAATATGCAAATAGTTGACTATATTCTATAATAATATTTATTCAAAATTTCACTCAAACCTATTACAAGTTTTGGCTATTTTCTATTAACTAAGTCGCTTTATCTGTCATTTAGTTTATTACAAATAAATTAATGACAGCAATGAAAAAAAAAATTATTAATAATGCTCATTAAGGTATTAATCGTAGTGATGATCATAATAAAAAAAAATAAATTTAATATTTTTTTGCTTGAAACTTTCAGAGGATTTTAATTCAATGTAATATTTTAATGCACACACAAATACATATATATTTGCAATTACATATACTAAAAGGTGCTCAAATTCCTTGGAATTAAATAAAAATAGCATTCTAATGCTTTGCGATTTTTTAAGTGGTTCTCTTGCATGTGCGACTAGCATTGAAAAGTTTTGTGAAAGTTTTGCTGATTAACGTAAAAGAGCCACAAAATTTAGCAAGTCTATGGAGGGGTGTGTTTATGTGTGCGTGTGTGTGTGGGAATGTATCTGTATATGTAAAGTCACAAACAGGCACACAAACATAGTTCCTGCTTATGAGCACAAGTGTGTGTATTGATGGAGGCCATGAATTGGCAACTAGCCAGCAACAACATCCTGCTGGAAGAGAAGGGAACATTTTGTTTTTGGGGACAGATGATAAACAAATGAATGGCGCATTGTGTACAACTTTGACAACTAGTCTGGCGTGGAGTATAGATCTGATGAGCAGAGGAACGCAGCTCGCAGCACGTTCCCAATAGAAACCATTCGGTTTACCGCTAGTTGACATCAAATCGGAACTGTTTCTTTTGGAAGAACGTTGGCGCGGCCAACTATTTTGAATATGAATAAAGCTGGGGCCACCGCCAGCGCATTAGATTCGAGTGAACCAAGTTTATGTGTTTCTTTTTCCACTCATAATCAATTAAGTAGTTCACCAGGCGAATGTGTGTCACAGCGATCGATGAATATTTATACATACAGTATGTCAATAAAGTGTTTTTACTAACAAAAAAAAACTAATTTTTTGGGTTTAGTTGAAAATAAATGTACCTAAAAGTGAGAATTTTTTTTCAATTCTAATTTATTTCGATTCTATATTTTTCCTAGAACTTAATGGCAAAAAGAATTGTTAAATAACATTACCCAAACATTTTATAAAATTAAAAAACTAAAAACATTCAAATTTTATGCTGTCAATAAAGTGTTTTTACACGAAACTTTATTACTAAATAACAATGTTAAAAAAACAGGAATATTTTTTTTTAATACTTTGTGTGGCTGCCATTAGCGTCACATACAGCCTGCAATCGCCGTTTCATTGAAACAATAAGGTTTTGTATGTATGTTTCTGGAATCTTCTGCCATTCTTCCAGTACAGCAGCTTTTAAATCAGTTTTTGATTTTGGACTCCGCTTTGCGACTTTTTTTTTCAAATATGACCACACATTTTCTATTGGATTCATATCTGGACTTTGTGGTGGAGTGTCTAACACCTTTCCACAGTTGTACAACAGCCAAACTCTTACCATATGAGCTTTATGCTTCGGGTCATTGTCCTGGTAAAATTTAAAAATTGGCTTATTGTCCTCATAGAATCCAAATTTCTGTGCACTACTGACGAGATGTGTCTGTAAAATGCTCAGATATTGTCTAGCATCCATGGTATTCTCAATGAAGGTCAAATCTCCTACACCCTTGCTCGAAATACACCCCCACACCATCACTGATAGTTTTCCGAATTTAACGGTTGGAATAATATTGCGGTTTTCCAACGCTGTTAGTGGCTTTCTCCAGACTCTGGATGGCCCATCGTTGTAGAATAGCATCATCTTGCTTTCGTCACAGAATATGACGTTACTCCAAAAATCGTTCGAACTATTTACATGGACTTGAGCGAACGATAGCCGCTTCAAAATATTCGCCGCCGATAGTAGAGGTTTTTTCCTGGCAACTCGTGATGTGTAGTCATTGGAATTCAGTAATTTTCGGACAGTTTCATGTAACACATCAACACCACTTTCTTCCTTGAACTCCTGAGCAATATCCCTAAGCGAAATTTGTGGATTTTTCTCAATTTTTCTCAGAATTTTTCGCTTATCTCTGTCAGAAATTTTGCAGGGTCGACCACATACTGGCTTTGCCTCTAGCCTATCTTCCTTATTGGCTCTGTTTAATATGTTGTATATCGTTGCTTTTGATAAATTAAACATATCAGCCAGTTCCGAGACTTGACGTCCCATCTGATGGTTATAATACACCAGCTGAGCGACTTCAAAAGTTGTTCTTTTTCCTGGCATTTTATTTTTCATAAAATTAAAGCAAAACGTTATAAATTGCAATAGAAAATGACAAGAAAAGTCGAAGACACAAGAGAAGCCAAAACGCATGGGCCCAAATCTAACGGGATCACCCAAAAGAGAACGGCAAAACAATTTACCGTAGCTGTAAAAACACTTTATTGACAGCATAAAATGTGAATGTTTTTAGTTTTTTAATTTTATAAAATGTTTGGGTAATGTTATTTAACAATTCTTTTTGCCATTAAGTTCTAGGAGAAATATAGAATCGAAATAAATTATAATTGAAAAAAAATTCTCACTTTTAGGTACATTTATTTTCAACTAAACCCAAAAAATTAGTTTTTTTTTGTTAGTAAAAACACTTTATTGACATACTGTACATTGGCGCAAGTGTCGGCTGGAATATGCTTTAGCTGTTGTCACCTCTCTTTCTCTCTCTCTTGCCCGCAGCACAGCACAGTCTGTCTCTTTCGCACATGCATCAAACTAGCTCGACTTGTGGCTGCTAAGCTTTTGCTTTGTAACTGTATATTTGTTGCTTATGGAAATGGGAAACGGTAAAATAAACGTTGGATGCTGCGACGTATTTAAAACTGTGTATATGTGTGTATGTGTGCGTGTATGAGTGTGTCTCGATCTTTCTGTAGTCTTTTTTTTTTTTAAATTTCGAGAACGAAAGTGCTTAATTTACTGCAGTTGAAAGTTTGTCTCGAATTAATATAAGTATATACATATATATGTATAGTTAAAATCGGTCTCTAATTAGAATATGTATATACACAATTGTTGCTTCTGACTGGAAATGGTGGGAAACTTGAATCCAGAGGGGCTTTTATAATTATCTGTTTAGCTTTAAGTTCATCCTTAAAGATATTTCGAAAAAGTTCAATGCTTTAACCTTTTTGGAAATTTAAGATAAGCTGTTTCTAGTTGAATTTTAGGTTCTATTTATACAAGGTTAAAGAATTCTATAGATTTTAGAGAATATCTGTAAACCATTTTGCACTCACCTGGAATCGTCAAACATTAGATCGATCTTAAGTTTGTATATCGAATTTCGACTGACACTCGAATTGTTCTCGAGCTGATCGCCGTCCAGTAGCCGAAAGCCGGATGAGTTGCTATTACTGCTGGGTGGTTTATGGGTGCGCACCGAGTTCATTTTTGGAACAGCCACAGCAGATTGGGTGTCGATCTTGCATGAGGTTACCATCATCAAGAGCGAGGTGATAAGCACACACGGAATGCAGCTGCAATTGGCAGTGACTGTGGCAGTGGCAGTGGCAGTAACTGCGGCGCATGCCACTTAAGCTCTTTGTTTGGCCGTTTGTCTGTTTCGTTTGTTTATTTCTTGTTTATCTATTTTTTTTTTTTCTTTGTAATTTGTGTGCAATTAGCGGCAAATGAATTTCAATTATGCACATTGAATGTTAATTTTCAACATTTTTAGCGAAATAATTGTTGCCTTTACACATACACAGACACACACACGCGCACACACACTGCACGAGAGGTTTGTATTTTTAACACTTTGCATAGGGCACGCTGTGGGATGAGGCTGGACCGACGTCTTGGAGGTGTTTGTCTGGCGTGCTGTGTGTGGCCAATCGCGTTGGCTCATTAATTAGCTGCTTGCCAGGCTGAAAACCGACAGTAAAAATAAACCAAATAAAAAAACAGATTAAAATCGGTTTAAGGCCCATGTGCATATATTGCATGTATAACGTGCCTAGGGGGTGGCGGGCTTTTCCTTCAGGAAAAACTATTGCAAATTTTATAATGGTTGCTTTGGCTTTGGTTGTTGCCTGTTTGCCTGATAAATTGCCCCATAAAATGCGATTGTTGTACTGGAAAAATGTTAACAATTTGCACCGCACAACAGTTGCAGTTGCAGTTGCAGATACACACACACAGACACACAAACACTCATACACACACACACAAGCCAAATACAACAAAGCAAACGCGTTAATTCGACGCTGTGTGTGACGCGGCTGTAGCTGCATCTATTAGATACTTTCACTATAGAGAGATATTTGCTATAATTAGCAAATGCCGTCTGCGGCAAATGCAGACAGTCACTAAAACACACATATACACACACACAAACGGACATACACATGTGCACCCATTGGCACTGACATTTACTTTTGCCTTATTTGAACTTCATTTGACCACCAAATTAACCGCACTTCGAAATGGCCAAGAGCTGCAGACCCGGGCCGCTTTTGGTTCTGATAGTCGTAACACTCGGTCTATAAGCTCTATGTTAACATCTGGACGCGTTGCTTGCCACACGACGACTGCGCGAACGCGTTGGCTGAAATGTCGAAGCGCGTCTGAAACTAAACTTCAAGCCATTCGAGCCCGCTGACGACTCCAAACGAAGTGAAGTGGCCAAAAGAAATGGCCAAGCAACGTAACTCCAATGTGTGTGTGTGTGTGTGTGTTGTGCATGTGACTGTGTGTGAGTGTGTGCGGCTGTGTGCACAATAACAATAACAATATAATCTCTGGCGTAAGTGGGTAGCGGCGCAGCTCACCTCTTCATATGTGCCTCATATTTATGAATACATACATACATACATACATACTATGCTATACTGTGCTCTGTATACACATACATATGTCCATGCACACAATTTTCCCCCGCCCCCTCTCCCATGTGTGGCTGCTGCTGAAGACGAACGAGACCGCTCGGATTTTCAACATCAACAGCAACAATCACTTGGCCCATGTTGAATGGTGCTTTATGTGGCCACAGCTCCATTATGTACCCTAACAATGTTGCTATTATTAACACTTGCGCATGTTTTGGCAGGCCCAGCTAATCCAACAACAACAGCAACACGTTGCACCTTCTATTTGCATAGATGAATGGCTCGACATTTACGCAAAGATTTTTGTGAAATGCCCTCTGCCGGCTGCAGTCAGCCAATGTCAATACAAACTTTGGGTTTGGGCTTGGGCCTGGTCTGCAGCCGGCGCGGGGCCAATAACTTCTACAGTTTGGATTTGGTTTATCGATGCCTGGTCCCGGTTTTGCTATTACCATTTGCGCAAGCGCGGATCTCGGACGCCGCGGCGTCCATTGGCGTCGGCGGAGACGGCATTTTCGAAATCAATGACCGTGGTCAAGTTTATACAATAATTACTGTAGCTGCCTGCTGCTACTGCTACTGCAACTGCAACAGCTCCTACTGCTGCCAGTGGACCCGTTTCTGTGCTTGACTATGCAATCTCATAAACTGCTTTTCATTTTGTTTTCCTTCCTATTCATTTGCTTTCGGTTGCGAGCAGTCTAGCATAGAAATAAACCTTAGCAGAATATGAGTACACTGTTCAAAAACAATGTAGCGCAAATTTAGTATGATCAAATATAATAGGAAAAATAAGATATTATTTTAATGATAATAATTATAATTGTACTTAAAACATATTAGCTAGAGATATAGGCCATATATATAGGTCTAAAATCAAGCACATAAACTATATGTGGTGCAGGAAGAAAAAAGCGAACTAAACTGACAGCGTGAGAGAGAGAGAGAGAGAGAGAGAGAGAGAGAGAGAGAGAGAGAGAGAGTTAAGAGTAAGAGATAATGTTTTGTAGTTGCCAACACAACTTTTTAATCAAATATTAGCATGCAACCCTGCAGCTCTTACTTGAATTTATGAGAATTGCATAGAAGGGCGATATTTAAATGGTCGTTTTACAAGAAAACATCAATACATACATACTTAGAAACATACATATACGTATTCATAAATTTTTAGGCATGCAAAATGTTCTATTAATTTTAATATATTCTATTTAATTTCAAAGTGTACGATATTTTTCTCCGTGTATGTAGTACGTGCAAAAGGTGTAATAATAACAACTTTTGCTTACAAAGATGTTGCATGTGTTTTGCTTATTTCGATCCGGTGGATAATGGAATATGTGAAACCTAATTATTAACCTCATATGTATGTCCTAAAAGAGAATATATTCTCTGCTGAAAATGATTTGAAGCACAGAATATGAACTCTTTATCTTAATTGATACTGTCTAATGAGAAGGCTGTCTAAATAAGCTCTTAAAATAATTATCCATATTCTATATTTATGCCTTATCTTCAAGGGCACAATTAGACAAACTCGGGTTAAGATATGTGATCCCGCAGTATTTCTACACACTCGTATGCTACTAAAAAAAATCCATGTAGATTAAAATCCGGAAGAAGAAAGAAGAAAGAAAGAATGAAGAAGATATGTGCAGGAAAAGAGTCGTGCCATTCAAGCTTTTCTCCAGATAAATTCAGATATACTGACCTATATATGTATGCATATTTTTTAATTTGTTTTCATATAAAAATATATATTAATTTACATAATTAATTTTGCCGCTGTTGTTTTGCAATTGATGTGATGCAGCTCGAAATTGACATTTATTCATGAGATAACAGTTCAAAGTTACGACTAATTAAATTGTGTCTACATAAAACAAACGACTAATAGCCGACTATTGTGTACGAATGCCTAAATAAACTCTTACTTTTATGCCAGATAGCGATGATGGGCCCTGGGGGCATTAATTGTAGTGTTTCATCTGAAACTCTGCCGCTTTTCTTTTCGTTTTTGATTAGCCCAGTGAAAACCCAAAGCGGCTGATTGGAAAAACCTGAAATGGCCCAAATGGCCCCCAAATGGCCATTTTGAACAGTTATAGGTTTGGGCTAAATTGAGGCATGTAGAACTTTGAAATGGCTTTTACTCTTATTCTAGCTGCCGAGCTTGAAAGCAATACAAATCTTAACAGATATTTTTTTTTGTAGTGGGTGTGCATCTCTTTCTAACTATTAACTGGCTGTATCTGTGTGTATAAAATGGCAACTGATTTATTGAACTACCACTGGCGTCTGGTCGGGCGCCAGTAATGTAATTTATCTAACAAATAGCATGATCATGATCAACACTTTCTCTGTCCAATTCTGCGGGCTTGTCTGTCTTTAATTGTTTTCGGGTTTGTTTTATTTAATCACAGAGGCAAACAAAACAATTTAAAAATTAGTCATACATTATACTCTGCTACCAGGCGCTCTACCTATGCCGAATGCAAGCATGCTTGAAGATACAGATACAGCTACAGGTCCAAACGCACATCCACAATCTGCTCGCACATGTTGCGCATTGTAGCAGCCACCCCCCGCCGCACCTCGCCACAACCCGTCGGATACGGTTGATTCCTTCGCTTGCCTCTTGTGCCTAACATTGCGTATCTGACATGCGCTCCAAGCGCACACTGAAGCAAAAGCATTCAATAGAGGTTTTTTTTTAGCCACAAATACAGAATTTATCTTTAAGCTAGAAGAAAACACTTCTTATTTATATGAAATCAATAATAAAATAAATTCCTTTTGATGACTTAAAGGAATTTTGAGAGGAACTATGTACGCTGCTTCTTATCGAGAAACTTAAGCGAGGAGATTCTAATATTATTTGTTTGTATGGTTGACTGATTTAACAGATATTATATAGCTAGATAATGTTGGATAATTTTTTGGACTTTCCAGTTTTCTTTGATCCTTTGTTAACTTCGCTATAGATTGTTGGACTTTTTATAGTGTGTTTTGTTTTTCTTATGAATACTAAATTTACAGACAAATCAAAAGAATCAGACCTGGATCATTTATTTCCACTGAAATTATAGCGCAATTATGAATTGGTTGTTTGACAGAGTTGCGACGATGGCAATTATTCTTCTTATCGGGATCTGACTTTCTTTTGACATGTACTTACGTACCTCGGTTAGTTAAATTTGGGTTATTTTGAGTTGGCTTTGCACTATGAACGACTCGCATTGCATCACGAGCTGCGACTGCGACAGCAACACGAAAAATGCTCCACACAACAATTGTCACATTGTGCTGCGCGTTACGGCATTTCTCTATTACTTCTGCACTGGTGCTTCTTCTCCCTCATCGTCATCGTCTTCTTCGCCTTTTTCTTCTTCGTTTTCAACACGTTTCCACTATTTAACAATAACAATACAAAACATTCGTGCAAGTCAAGCGCCTGCGCGACAGAGTTGCGCATATTAAGAAAATTAAGTTCGTGTGCTTAGTTTTTTATTTTATTTTACGACTCGCGAAAATGATTTTACAATTGTATTACAGCGCGTGGCAAAAAAAAAAAAAAAAACATAAACCATTCACGACTTTATTTGCCAACTATTCACTTAACAGTTAGTGAAAATTTAAGATCCAAAGGTTACCAAACAGCGGAGGAGGGATAATGCCATTGTTGGGCAAATAGCTTTATTTAGTTAAACATATCAATAGATACATACACGCATACACACACAAGTTAGGATTTCAATTGAAGCTTTTTGAAAAGCACGCCAACACAACAATGTTAAGGGGAGTTTAAGCCAGGGCTAAAACTCTTGAATATATTCGTTAAATATTGCTCCGTTGCACAACATTCTAAAATATAGCATAAACATCAGTTAGTTTTTAAATTGGAGCTCTGGGAAAGAAACCAAATATTGAAAGGGGAGATCTGGAACATCTTTAAGCTTTAATTTTGAGCCTTGCCTCACACTTTTTGATATGTAGACATATATGTTAAGTAAAGCATCTGTAAACACCTTTGCAA